AAGATCATCTCTCTACGATTAATATTGGTGAAGTTACGATACAATAAAGTTTTAAGTATAATTCTGGCTAAAATTATGTTAATTTTTGGCCGGAATTATGATATACAAATATAAGAAATTTTTTATATAGTCACATCTCTTTATAATCACCAAATATGGACTGTCCCAAATGTGTGACTATAAAGAGAGTTGACTGTAGGTCAACATGGACCATTAATAATGGAAACATGCCCATTAGAGAAATATTTATAACACATAGATACCTCAATTTATTACAAAAAATTGGAACTTTAAATTCATATCCACTTATATATACTAGCCAATTAATATTATCTTCTGGATATACTATGAGTTGGGCATATTATCGTTTCATTGCAAGGCTTTCAGCAAAAAGACGCATAGCCAAATGGTTTCAATAATTAACCCAATGGATTAAAGGAATATCAGCACCAGAAATGCCTAGATATTCCTTATTTAACTTTTTGAGTAATATATTACAACCGGTATTAGAGAACAAGTGAAAACACCCATATGTTATAATAAAAGATAAAAACAATGAAGTCTCAATAGGATTGTTAAGAAAAGAACACAGATAAAGAAAAATGGGAAAAAAATTGAATGTTTAAATATAAAAGTTTGATATGTTCAGATAATTCTCAAAAAGCAATCATTCAGAAACAGAAATATTCTAAAATGATTACAATAACTTAACATAATGCATTAGTATTACCAATTTTTATTCGTTTATCAACAGATGCAATCATACATATCGACTAGTATTAGCCGGACTAAGCAAATAGTGTGTTTAACATAATCCCCCTCCTCTGGATTACACAATGGTTCCTTGAACAACATAATTTTTATCACGTGATTTATTGATTATTGTTCATAAAAGGGAAATTATGTATGCAGTATCACCTCAATTTTTATATAAAAAGGAAAATTTCTTACACCCCCTAATTAATTTATTCTTTTTAAGATTGTATATACAAGAGATTGGAAGTAAGACGTACAAGAGATTAGAAACAGTTATCAGTATATAGAGTATTGGTACATTGAAGTTTAACTGTACTATAGATTTTGGTCATAGGTTTATTATCCAATTTACACAAAGAAAATCAGATTTATTTTGAGTGTATAATACGCATTTTTATTACATGAATGATATTCCAGTTTTTTTTGTTACACACTGTAGATAAAAGTAAATTCCATTTTATTTAAATTAAATATTTTAAATCAGAATAGTAAAAATAATTAGACTTAAGATACTTAATATACTTAATATACCCTTTTTAGATGTGATTTTTAAAAGTATTAGTTAAAAGTAAATTTCATTTTATTTAAATCAAAATATTTAAATCAAAATAGTAAAAATACTTAGACTCAAGATATTTTGTTACTAAAACACCAAATTATAAAGTACTTGGTAACTATTATAGACAAGATTTAATAAAATACTTTTTTTTTCTGTTCATATAGTATCTTAAAATATCCAATAAAATTATTTTAACATTAATCATGCAAATTTTTTATTTTAATTTTATAAAAGAGAAGTAGAATTATTTTCATTTACAACTTTAATAATTTTATCTAAAATTTCTTTTTCTTTATCTTTTTCCTTTCCTTTTCCAAAATTTTTATAATCAATCCAAAATTTTGTTTGAGAAGGAATTTTAATTCCATTCTTTTCACAATTAATTAAATAATCATTTTTAACCTTCCATCTTAATGTAATTCTATTTATTTCAGATTTTAAATCTTTTAATTGTAATGTAATATGAATTGGATGTGAAAATATTGAAAGAGTTTCCAAAGTAATTTTTGTTAAAGGTGTAATATTTGAGATTTGTGAAGTTGAAGGAATAATTGATGGTGTATGATGATAAAAAATTTTCGTTACATATGGTGACATAAAATTATGTAATGTAATCGTTGATGCTGTGCTTGCGACAAATGCTTTTTTCGTGAAAAAAAAAAAAAAAGATATAAGTTTGTGTATTTTAAATAATTGGACTATTGGGGAATAATTATTTATGTTATATACTCTTATATACTCATGACAAAACCCACATTAAGATTATGTGAAAACCCATCTTACCTAGTGATAAGATTATTTCATTTAATTCAGCTGCTTGAACTAATTAAATTAATTAAATTGAATATAATAAATCATGTTAATAGATGTTAATAGATGTTAATAGATATGTTAATAGGTTATAAATAAAAAAGGTTTATAAAAAAAAGGTTTATAAAAAATGTTCAATATTTACTCATAGGATTATTCCAATTCCACCAAGTAAGTGGACATATTGTCCATGCAAACTAATTAAAGAAACAAAACATTTTTTTATTTTATTAGAGACAATTGAGTAAGGGATCTTCGAATCTTAATTTTTAATACGAACCCCAAAGGTAGATATAGAAAATATCTTTAAGATTCTAATTAATCGAAAATTTGGACCTTCAAATATAAGTTGTTTAGTTTCTACATTATTATTTGAATTATTATTTGATTTATCTTGTTTATTTGTTGAAAAAAAAGTTTTTTGAAAATTAATAGAAGAATTTCTTGGAATTTTATACAAGTTTCTTAATGATTCATTAACATGAAAAGAATTATAATGATGATATAAATTAAAATTAATTCGTGTTCTCATTTTTTTAAAAATTCGGAAAAAAAAAGATTATATATTTTTTTTTGATCGATAAAGCATTGATGTATTTACACATCATGTCCTTATATAGTAAAATTCGAGTTAAGTAACATAATTTCAGCAAGATAAATTTCTGCAACATAATTTCAGTAACACTATAATACGGTACATTTAATTGCCAAAAAAGTCACATGATTATTACTATTGCTATAAAATCTGGCCAAAATTAAGAAATTAAGAAATTACGGTAAATTTTACAAATTACGTCATGTGATAAAAAAAAATTTCAATTTAACAGTTAAAAATATTTTAAGTTCATCACAAAATAATTTAATAAATTACGTAAATATAAATAAAAGAAAAAAAATTTTTTTTTTCCGGGGAGATTCCTGGATTCCTATTACTGTATGTAATTAATGAATTAGAAATTTCATGCTCATTTATCACTCATATCACAAGAATTATTTTAAAGAATGTTGGAACCCCCAACAAATAAACCTGAATGTCTGAATGAATAAATAAATGACGCGCTTTAAAAAAACCTTAATGACAAAAGAGAAATGTTTAAGGGCGATCAAAAGCGAATTTCCCACGAGACCTGGTCACATTATTCTCTGTTTTTGATCATCTTATTTAATAATTTCATTTAAAATAATTAAATTTGGTAATGTGGTGAATGAACGAATTTTTTTTTTTACGAATGTAAGAATATGAGAATACACGCATATGAGAATATGAAATTTTTTTTCAAGAGATAATATATATATTTACTTTACTGTACTTAATCATATCATTCATATGTCAATATGTAATTTGATCCAATAATAATGAATTAAATATACAAATATTTTTTTTAATTAAATATATACCAGGATGTGATTTACTGCGTAGTTTTTTTTTAAATGTCTCACAATCGGAGTTAATTCGGGTTGTGGCGCAAAATGGTTTGTTTGGGTCCAACGCATTTGGTTAAATTTTTTATTTGATTTTATATTATTATTACAATAATTGTTTTTTTTATTAGACAATTGATTCAATATTGTTCTTTCAAACGAAAACTTTCAATCATTAACCAAATTTATATATAATAATTTTTTTGAACAAAATTATTAAGGTAAACTTTATAATAAGATTTTATTTGATAAAAAAAAACAAAAGATTCAAATTGTGATATTGTTTAAACACGCGAAACAACAAGGAAAATCAATCAATTTTTGTTTGTTTAAAAAAAAAAACCGGACAAAAAAATTCCAAATGGTGATTACCGAGAAATAAATTTCCTTCTTACGTTTACTAAAAAAAAAAACAATATGAATTTTTCTTATCCTTTTGCAGATTTGTTTAGTTTCTATTTAGATAGGAAAATCCTTTTTTTTTTCTTTTTCATTTCTGGATTAGCGTAAATTTTTGAGTTCCTTCAATCTCTTCTTTTTTAAAAAGTTTATTATGTTTATAATATAATAATATAATAACATTGAAATTATATTGTAAGAAAACTGGGACCATTCGAGACCTTTAACTGGGAACCTTAAATTGCCAAGAAAGAATCGTGGTAAATACCCTTTATAGTTTTATTAGTTCGTATGACTACGCCACATTAACCAATAGAGACCATAAATTGAGAGCATATAGAAAAATTAAAAATTTGATGTTAATCCTTTCATAAAAGAAATTTCGGGGTAAAATAGGTAAAATAATAATAACATTTTAAATATTTTTTCCGTTTTTTTTTTCTTTGCGTTTTGTGTGGCGGTCGGTTATAATAATATGCAATTCATTCTTGCGCCATTAATGCATATGTGAAACTATTACACGGATCAAATCATTTTGCTTGTTAATTCAAATAAGGAAAAATATCTGAACTCAGCGGACTTGCGCTTGGCGCAGTGCATAATAAGAAAATACGGAGTAGAAAAAAAAAAATTTGTATAAGTGCATTTATAGAAAGCTTTATAATTAAAAGGTGGCTGCTGCGGCATTCGAAATTCCGAATAACTTTTTATTTTTTTCTTTCTTTGGGTTTATTTTAATAATTAAACATACATATCAATTGATCTATAAATTAATAACATAATTAATACTTTTTTAACCTTCTAAAAGAGAGAAATTACATTCATTCCTTTTGAAGAAGAAGAAAAAGAAGAAGAAAGAAATAAAGAAATAAAGAAAGATAAGATAAGAAAAAGATGCAATGCAAATAAATTATTTCGGTTACGGTCAAACTTGGAATTTCATTAATTTCAACTATAACAGGATAAATAAATTAATAATAGATAGAGTAATTAAATGTTCGGTTACTTTATTTTGTTTATAATTTTCGGGATAAAATGTTAAATAAAATAAAATAAAATAAAATAAAATAAAATAATAAATAAATAAAAAAATGTAACGATAAATAAATAATATGGCTAATTTATTATTATATATTATTTTTATGTATTGTAAAATTGTAGAACCAGCAAAATCGAAATTAGTTTCGAACAATTAAGGAGTAAAATTTCTAATTTTGTTATTTAAATAATTCTTCCAAAACACATCTTTTATTATTATCATTATGGGTCTAGATTTGTAATTTTTTAATCAGACTATTAGTGGATTAGATTAATAAAATCCCGCATTGAATATCCCAGTTGTAGAAATCAAAGGATAAAAAAAACTTTGTAGTCATGCTAGTTATGCTTAACATTTTGCATATTTTGATAAATAATGATATTAAAAAATATATTTCACTCACTCTCTCTATATAAAAAAAAAAAAAAAAAAAANACATAATACCTGTCTCTTATACACATCTAGATGTGTATAAGAGACAGGCCTTAGGTAACACATAACGGAAAAAATGCCACAACTTTTGATCCTTTTTTTTTTTTTTTCACAAAAATTTTAAAATTTAAAATTATTATTTTATTTATCCATTTTTATTTCTATTTTTTACTTTATTTTTTAATTTTTTGATGAAAAATTTTTTTTTTTTTTTTTTGATTTTCCGAAAAAAGAAATCTATATACAGTATTACATATTTGTGTGAAATATAAACACTATCGTGCAACATAATAAATTCTTGTGAGACATTAATTGAAACCTTTAGTCCTTTTAGTTATGTGATTATGATGACTTATCTGTTATTATCTTTAGTTCTTTCCTAGTTTCTTTCTTCCTTTCTATTTATTCTTTACTTGTTCTTATTGAATGTATAAATCAATCAAACAAAAATTGATTTCTCTTTAGTTTATCAAAAATACAAATATCGCTATGGTGATACAGAGAGTACTAAATATACTAAATATACTGAATATAATAAATATAATAAATATAATACACGTGATATCGAAAATATTATATATATATTATTATTATTGCGAAATTATTCCCACAACTTATTATTTGTTCTTTTTTTAACAATATCTTATTGTTGATTATAAACCGTTTACTTATACGGTTAGTCAGTATCAATTTGGATAAGTAACTGGATTAGTCAGATATTTGTCAGATATTAGTGGATTGGATTAAATTTTAAAATATCTTCTTTAAAAGAATTTCATCTTTTTTTAACAAACTAAAACTGATCGATTATATCCATAAAAAAAAATAATGTATAAGAACAATTTACATGTACAATGGGTATTCCGGCCCGTAAATTTACTATTAACTTTCCATTTAAAGTAATTCATCCGGATCAAGTAAAAATTTATTTATTCAAAAAAGTATCATTGTTGCTATTAAAAAAAAATTTTATATACCTAAATTTATATAATAAATTATCATTGTAATTTAATTTTGATTGGCCAAATATAAATACATTTAATTACTTTATGAGGAAATGGGGGTAATTCACATGTTAATGTGATGAACAATGGATTCTAGAAAGTAAATACATTTTAGTTAAGATCGGAAAGTCATGTGTCATAACAAAAATAACTTTTATTAGTTAAGGTCTTTTAAAGGATAATAAGTCACGTTTTACACGACTCGAACTCAAAAAAAAAATTTGAAAATTGGTTCGATTATTAAATACGCGTGACTTTAGAATATTATAATATTATCGAATCAAATATAACAGCATGCAAAATTATGAGATTGGACGTTGGATATGAATTAAAAATAAGAATGGTTTTATTTGACAAAGCATCTATAAAACTATATTATGATCAGAAGAGAAAAAAACTCGGATATGCCCAATTATTATTTGATCAACAATAGAACATCAATGAATGATTGGCAACCTTATGGTGAAAATGGTGAAAAACTAAAAAACAATGACAACGATTAAAGAAATTTTTTTTTTTTTAACAAAGATGATTTCCATCTAAAAATGGCTACTGGATAAATTAATTGACCGTCTCAGGTGGCTTTCTTATCTTTTCTCATTAACCATAATATAATGTAATCGAACCTTATTATCATTTTACAAGTTATATTTGGTAAATAAAAGATTTTTAAAAAAAATTTTAACGTGATCTGCCTCAATTTTAACCATTTGAAATTTTGTATTCATGTACAAAATAATTTATATATCTTATCTAACGCATATCTGTTATTTATTTGCAGCCCATCATGCAGTATAATCC